CTACCAAGGTCTACTTAGGTAAAGATAGAAGATAGTTACAAGAAATTTTAATTATCACTAATGGATAAGAATTGCACATTATGTAGTATTTAAGAAAACATTCCAATTAGTTAAAAATGTTACTTTTATAGATCATGCTAAATCACGAGGAGTAAGTTGAACCTAGTGAATAGCTACGCTGCTTTGGCAAAGTTCAAGTGGGAGGCAAAACATACTTCCAGATTCTGAGGCCTAAGCTTCTCAATTCTCACGTGGATCGTGAGAATTTGAAAGCTCTCAAAAGCATAATTCTAGTCACGCACTTGTTGTCTGCACTGTTCAGGTCACGATTTTGTAGACAGTCATCCAGTGTGCGCCTTTGGTGGGTAAAGTTTTACAAAGAAGGAGTCAAAGTCCCTTGTAATTAGGAGTCTTGTGTGTCTGGTGCCTAAAGGAAGCTCTTCTTAGAGACTGCAAATGCTGCCTATAGCCATAGTCCGTGCAGAACACCTCTGTCAGAGGGACTGTGGGCAAAGGGCTCCGAGCGGAGAAGCACAGAGGATCATGGTATCATTTTTGCAAGTATGGGAAGCAGGGGCCTAGAATTAAGCAGGACGTAATTGAGCAGGAGCAAAGTTGTAGGTATGAATTGAGTGGTAACGCTTTGGTGCTTAAAGGTAGAGCTAGGTCTTTAAGAGTAATTAATAATGAGGAGCAGTTTTTGCAAGAGCAAAATATGGAAAATTAGCTGCCTGGGTGACATAATCTGAGGTTTCATGCAGTGGGGGTCTACGCTGTTCTTCAAAAGAGTGAGGTTAGGTACTGTTAACTCTTACAGAAATGTGTTTCCACTGCATAAAGAAAGTTCCACCACAGAACAGAGAGTGTGCTCTTACCTTGTTTGACACATAAAAATGTTTCATGCATATATCTTCATGTGATTACTAATCAGTACGTTTTGTTCATTTTACACTAACAGAGTCCTTACTCTTTTTTTCCAGTTTAGAAGTTTCTTGAATTTTATTACAACTTCTCTCCATCATCATTTTTTTATCATGATAAAAATCCAGGTAAGAGAATTTACCAGATTAATCATTTTTAAGTGGGCTATTTACCAGTGTTATCTACATGCACATCTTGTGCAGCAGACCTCTACAACTCTTTCAACTTTAAAAGTGGGAATCAACTGGGGTGATGGGGCCTTCATGTAACCTCAGCATTTGGGGAGGCTGAGGCAGGAGGGCTGCAAGTTTAAGCCTAGCCTGGGCAATTTAATCAACATGGGAGACCTTGTCTCATAGTAAAAACCAAGAACTAAATAAAAGCGCTGGGGATGTAGTTCAGTGCAAAGGCTCTGGGTTCAACTGCCAGTACCAAAAAGAAATAAAGAAACTATGATCAACACCATAGAAACAAGAACACCACCACCAACAATCTAAACTAAAAGGTTAGAACTGTACACCCACTAAATACCAACTCTCCATTTCTCCCCTCAACCCAGACCCTGCTAAATGTAATTCTGCTTTCTGTACCTAAGTGTTGGTTGCTGTAGACATCTCCTTAGGTAGAACTATGCATCATTCAGTATCTGTCACTTGTTGCTAGTTTATTTCATTTGTTTTCATCATGATATTTTAAATTACACAATCTCCTTCTTTTTCAGGCTAAACAATATTCCATTGTATATGCCACATTCTATTCACCTACCCATACACGTTTAGGTTTCTAGCTGTTTGCTATTGTGAATAATACTGCAGTGAATTGGTGTATAACTACTTCCTCAAAATCCTCCTGATAATTCTTCTGGACATGTTGTAAGAAATGGGGTTTCTGGTTCACTTATCAATTCTATTGTAAATGTTTTGACCGAATTTCACACTGTTCCCGTAGCAGCTACACCATTCAACATCACCACCCACAGTTCGTAAGCTTTCCAGTTTCTCCATGCCACCCCCACTGAAGCACTTGCTAGTTCCTGGGTTTTGAATAGTCCTAAGTCATCAGTATTTAACTGAGCACCTATTTTGTACCAGGCACTATTCTTAGAGTTGTTGATGTAGTAATGAACACAGGAGAACAATATAAGGAAAATGCAAATTTTAATTTTTATTAGTACATGTTTGCAGTACATAATGATTACATTCTTTGTGGGAAGTCGATGTGTGTGTAAAGACATCTTCACTTTTGTTCTATCCTCTTCCTCTCCTTTGCCTCTGCCTTCCCTCCATCTCTTGATCCTTTTTCCTTTTGTAAAAGATCTAGCTCCCTTTATTTCTATTACATATCTTTTATTTTTGTCTTTAATTTATTATACTTTGGATTTCTCACATAAGAGAAACCATCAGATAACGTGAAAGGTTTCTTTTATATCATAAGGACGAGGCCTATCTCATTGTGCAGTAGTAATTCTCTCTGCCTCATATTTAGAAATCAAAACACAACCACAGTGTAACACACATTGCAATATGGGCCTAATGCCATTAAATTTGGACTGGGAAACTTAAAAAGCTTGAATTAGAAAGAAGATTCAAGCTTTCAGAAGAAAAACCTGGTCCTAAGGGGCTGGGGATTTAGCTCAGCGGCAAAAGCGCCTGCCTGGCAAGCGCAAGGTCGTGAGTTCGGTTCCTGGTACGGGAGAAAAACCAAAAACAAACAAAACAAAACAAAACAAAAAACCTGGTCCTAGACACTGAACAACCGAACAAATGCATTTCAGGATGAAATACACTGAACAATCATGGCAGGGTCTGGTCTGTAAGTCTTTCCATCATCTCTCTTGGTGTCATTACAGCGCCAGGACTTACAGTATATCAACCAGTGACCAAAAGCCACTTTCATGAGAAACCACTAAAGGAGCTAAATACCAGGCACCAACAAAAGGCGTTATTCTGTTGGACTCTGTGAAGGGAAAGGAAGGGGCAGTTCATGGTCCTTATCATGTGTAGGAATGTTGGACAGGTATGCGAGGAAATTCAAGCACCACTATGAGAGGCACAGAAGCAGTTATGTGGTCCAGACAAATGGGTAGAAAAGGTAACTTAAACTCAAGGAAGAGTAGATTGAGTTCATGGAATAAGAAAACTGATTAGCTTGGGAAAAATAAGTGGATTTCTACAGATAAAGATAAGGAGGTAGTAGGAGGTAGTTGTAAAAATCTCAGTTTTACAACTGAGGAAACTGGGATTTGTGGAATGTAGCAGATATATCAGAGTAGTGCAGCTGTCTTACACCAGAGATACTTTTTTAAAATTCTAGGTCTCTTTGACCCACGCTTATGCCTTCCAACCTTATATTAAGCCATATATATTCCAGGATGGCTAAGAAAGATGTGTCACAAGGTGACGCAAGTGAAGCTTGAGTCATACATGGGGAAAAACCTGAATAGCAGAATATAGAGTTTAATATTGTGCCTCAGGAGTTTGGGGAAAAGCATAGGGACTTTGGAAACAGAGGGATACGGTATTTTCCCACAAGCAGATTACCCCTCCGCTATTGTGTATTAGACATAATAGCATCCATAATAGCAATGAAACATTGGAAAATTTGGGGAAACTGGAGAAGATTAGTGGAAAATTTCTAAAATGAAAACTACATTTAAGTGTCTTACTGTGAACATTCTGCTGGTATTAAATGTGAGACTTTAGAGAATCATCAAATTGTTAATACAAATATCTCACAGGTGCCTGTTTCTTCTTGCTCAATAGATGTGCTTAAAAAGTATTTCCCTAGAAAACCAAAGGCTCTGAGGGCAGGTGTAGCTTAAGCTGCAACCTACCAATTGGAATGAAGGGAAAGGTTCTACTACACAAATGATCCCATCCCGTCACCTCTAACAGCAATCTCATAAGAATAGACCATCAGCAGTTTCACTGCTTCCTACAGAATAGATTTCTTTGTGGCATAAGAACTGTGACAAGATTTCCAACTGCTTAATATAGTACTAAATAGACATCCATTTAATTTTTATTAATAAATTTGTAATAGTACGGGAATAACTTCAACAGCTGAGATAATCACTCACTCTAATTATTGGAACTCTCCTCATTACCTCAAATATATCTCTTGCATTTGCCAAAAGTTTAATTAAAATGAGATGGCTCGAATAATTCATATCATAGTAAACATAAGACAAACCAATAAAACTGCATTTTTTTCTTCCAGTCTTCTTAGTCATGCTAAAATAGTTCATTTCCATTTTCAGTAATGAGCTGCTTTAAACAACTTCTGTGACATTAATCCTTGATATTTGTCTCAAAGAGGAAGGGAATGCAATGTCCTTCCTGAAGTTTTAGTCCCTGAGAAGCAATGACCCTACACTGTGTGGATTCTGGAGACAGTTCAAATCAGCAAATAAAGCAATTTCTACTCCAACACTATTGAAAACTCCTTATAATGAAGTTTTATTTTAGCAAATTTAGCTGGCTAGCTTAATTCTCGAACTGGACAAGGACATGCACATTACGCAGAAATACACAATCTGCTTTATGTTAAATAAGTATGGAAACGTGTATGCTTTAATGTATGCATTGTTCAAAAACCGCGTTGAAATATTTATAAATAGTATAGTAAAGAATACAGAGTTCTAACTGGGCTCTTTTAAGATAAACATTAAATCAAATGCATTCTGAAATACAATATGTGCATGAACTTTCCACCTCCCTACTTCTCCAAGGAAGAAACAATGGATGTTAAAAACCAGAAAGCCATTGAAAGCACAGTGTCACTCTCCACACCGTGTTCTTCAGGATTCCTCATCTGTTCTCATTGCCTCTCCTGGAGCACGTTAAACAATAAGATGCAGTACACAAGAACTATCAAAAGGGAGCACTTTTGAGCCACCAAAATTGTATGTTCACCTAAAAGCCACAATCTCCCCAACTCCAGACAATGATACTATCTCAGGTATTTTATGTGCTAAAATGATCATTAAAAATTAAGCACCACATATAAGCTGCCATTTAGAATATTAATTTACCTTTGCTAATCATCTTTTTAACTTGAGGCTAAAAGAGTTCACTTACCATTCGGGTGCTCAGGCCGAGTCCAGGAGATGTTAACGGAGTCCGGTGAGTAGGAGAGAGCTTCGGGGGCGGCCACCCCTTCGGGGATGGCCTCGTCAGTCAGGGCCAGGCTGGCCTCGCTCTCCGCACACCCACCCCCGGTGCAAGCCTGGACAGGGTGCAAAAGTGAGCATCTCATTTGGGCTCTGTAAAGTTTAGATGGCCATGGAAGAAATGGAGTTCCTAACGAAAGTTCTAGACCCTTTTAAGTGATATTGCCTTTACCCCTCAAAACAAACCTGTCTTGATGCTGAAGTTCATCATTGAATGGAATACCAGGGCATGAGGCAGGCATCTCCAGTAAGCAGAAATAACCAGGCAGGTGTGAAGTAAAGACCAAGCTGAGCTAGAACCTGGCCAGAAAGGCCATGAACTGAGTGGATGGACAGCCCTGCAGGAAGCAGGCTCACATAAAGGTTGCAGAATGAATGAAACACAGGCGGGTATACACACACACACACACAAACACGCACACATGGACACCTCCATGGGCATGTGTATGCATACCACATGAGAAAAGTACTAGAGCCTGAGACTTCAGGATTGAACAACTATATCTAGGTAGGAAAAGATGTATGCCAAATATAACTGCTTTCTATTTACGATTTAGGAGCCAATATGTTTATACTTCAATACCATGTCAGATTGAATAAAACAATATTTCTCAGTCAATCAATGTGCAACATTGTTGAGTGAATGTCTAATGGCTTAGAAGGTCAAATAATTTACTTATGAGTCAGAGGACGACACCGTCATTGAAACATGGCCGACAAATTTAACGTAATCCCAAGAGCCCCTTTCCTTAATAAACACCACAAATGTCCAAAATGGTGACATGAATGTTAAACACATTCAAAACTTCTGTGCACTTTCACAATAAAGTGCAAATAATTGTTAACTTTACTGGACAAGGATTTCTTCAGAACGTTGAGATGTATGAGCAGGGTTTTTATTAGTCCATCCTTGCTAACAAACATTAGCAATTATATCTTTATGCAACAATGATGTTTAAAAACTATACTTAACTACGTTTCATATTTCTTCAGTTTACAACCACAATTTACACAGTGAAATTTAAAAATCTTTCAGAAAGCACTAAATTTTATCACAATTAATAAGAAAATGAAGCAAAATCATGGGGTGATATAAAAAGTAGACAGTTACTTAGTCCATTTTCATGGAAGATAGATATTACTAGCATAAAAAATTTAAGCACCATTTTACTTATTTTGGCCTGCCCACTGCTTTTCAGTTAGATATGAGGGGAGTGATTTTTCTGATACTTAAAGCAGTCAACATTGTTTTCCTTAGAGATAGAAGACGGCTGGCTGGTTTTTACATATTTTCTTATATGACAGATTAGTACTATTTGCCCAGTTGTAACTAGTTGCAAATTTTCATAAGAATAAATAATGTATTGCCAACAAACATGGAGATCATGCTCACTTCCTGTGCTGAGAACAGAGCAGTAATTCACGTCTCCAGAATAATTTCTCATCAGTTTATGCAAGTTACAGGCCTCTGAAATCATGAGTTGAGCATGAAATTGCATTATGATTGGGTCTTGATTAACTTCCATGTTTTCTCTGATCCTCAGCTGCGCTGTGTGTACATACATGTAAGGGGAAAACCATATTTCCTGCTGAGAATGCAATGCGCAAATAAGGAAACATCCATTGACCGTGTGTCCAAATCTTGACTCAGAGTTTTGGATCATGCCACTTGTTAGCACAAGAAATCACTGCCCAAAAATTAAGTGCTAAAAGTTTACAAAAAAAAAATGGCAGAAAAATAGGCATAAGAGGTAATCAGGGTATCAAAGGAAACAAGTTGTATTGTCTTGTTTTTAAACTGATTCTAATATAATTATAATAATCTCCTAATTATTATTAATATACTACTAATATTAATTCTAATAATCTACTTGTCACTATTTTAATTTTTCATGTCTTAACCACCTTCTTTACTGACTCTCCTCAGAGAAGTGCTGTATCATATGACATTTTATATTTTTTTAAACAGAACGAGAATTTAAATTTACTTTGAGAATTATGATGTTTTCTAAAGTAAATGAAAACATCATTAGAAAGACTACTGTTCTTTGGACCCTATCATCTGAGACCTGTGAAGTGGAAATTTGACAAAGAGACGCCTCAAGAATCTAAGGAATGTATGAGAATTTTTGATTCAAATGAAATGATGTAGAAAGCTGCTGAAGTAATAAGAATGACTTGTGAACTTTGTTTTCTTCGGGCTTTGCCCACATTCTTTTTGCATATGCTTAGAAGGTTGCTTCCAAGTGTCTAGTCTAAGTGTCCCCGTCCACATGAGATGGAACCAGTTGGCACTTTGTTGCATTTGCCTGTACAAGAGGCCTCTGTATGCACAGCAGTGGACAGCTCATCGGAAAAACTAAGCAACATGGTGGCATGGATTAAGGTCTGAAAACCTGTGAGCCATTAAAATAAATTGTTCTAACCCATTTCCTATGGCTTTTGGTTTGTTACAGCCATTTAAAAACCAAATTCACAGAGTCATAATGCCACTTTTAATTGAAGAGTAGCATCTGGCAAAAAGGAGGTTCAAATTTGTGACAAGGAAATGCATAAATAATGAAATTATATCAGTTCTTCTTTAATTTATGGATAGTAGGAGATCCAGAACTAGCATTCTGCTTTCCAGTAGTTCATTTTCAGCTAAGTGGGACCTGAAGTGTTAGGAATAAAGCACATTTTCAAGAATGAAGAAAAAATGAGAGTGCTCTATCCATGTCAATCTTTTCAAACTCATTATTCCCCAAAATCGTGGCTCCTTCTCACCAAGTGACAGATGGAGGGCCATGATATGGAAGTTATCAAACAATGCATATCTTGAGATCTGTCTGCCTTAGTAGTCTCCTTATTTAATTGCTAACTTACTACCATTATTAGGAGCTATCATACTTTTTATCACATCTCAAAATACT